ATACCACTCGTACCCTAGGTGGTATTTCTCGAATCAACTCTTGGTTGAGTATCACGCCTTTGTATAAGATGATAATCATGGTTACTTGATCATTAATGGCTTGCTTCATGTCTCCACTTCGTGCTAGCATCAATGTCTTGGACTCCAAGTTACTTGAACCTTTCTCTTTTGCTCCTCGTGGCTTGGGTTTCCTTTTCCTCCTCTTGGTTCCGCTGCATTTGAAGTTGGTCTTCATTAACTTTCTTGGAGATAGGGGCCTTAACATGATCTTTCAACCTTTATGCAATAACGTGTACTTGTTGGTGATGCCATCATGTTGTGCATTTCGATCGAATTGCCACGACCTCCCAAGTAGAATATGAGCCACTTGCATAGGCACCACACCACACATTATCTTATCCTTGTATTTCCGAATTGCAAACTTAAGTAAATCTTTCTTCGCCGCCTTAATCGAGCCATCTTCATTGAGCCATTAAAGAGTGTAAGGTGTTGGATGAATCTTGGTCTTTAACCTCAAGTTCTTCACACAACTCGCACTCACCATGTTTGTGCAACTTCCTCCATCAATCATAACCAAAAGAAGCTTACCATCTATTATACACCTCGTGTGGAAGAGCTTTTCCCTTTTCTCAATCTCTTCCTTAGGTTGGATGTTCAATAGACTTCAAGCCACACACAACTTGCCTGGAGGTGCTTCCATCTCTAGAGTCTCATCGATTTCACAATTCGATGTGTCCTTCTCTTCATGTGCTTCTTCTTCAGATTCGTACACATACTCACCATTCTCTAAAATAATCAACGCTTTCTTGTTAGGGCATTCCCTCGCAATATTGCCACACCCATTGAACTTAAAACATTGAACCCACCAGATGATACTCCTTGCTTGGCAATAGGGTTTGTAGCTTCAAGCTTTAGACTGATTTTTGTTGTAGGAACTGGAGTAGGTCTCATGGTACTTACAGAAAGTAAAAATCTTCGATTCTTCTGTTGCCTCTCCACCTTACTACTCATAGCCGCCAAATCTTCAAGCTCATCAGAATGTTGGATCTCCATTATATTTAAAACTCGCTATTAAGACCATGTAGAAATCGAGCTATGGTAGCCTCTCTATCTTCACGAACATCAACTCGAATCATCAACATCTCCATCTCTCAATGATAGTCCTCAACATGCATGTTGCCTTGACGGAGAAGTTGCAATATTTGATGCACTCACGTTGATGATAACTTGGCACAAATCGATCTCGCATAATGCCCTTCATATAATCTCACATCTCAATAGGTTTGCGTCGATATCTCCTCCTCTTTGTGCATAATACATTCCACCAAACCAATGCATAATTCGTAAATTCGAGAGAAGTCATAGTTACCTTCCTCTTTTCCGGGTAATGATGGCTATAAAAAATTAGCTCCATCTTGCGGTCCCTATCTAGGTACGCATCCAAGTCAATCTTCCCTCTAAACGATGGGATGGTAACCTTAATACCTTGTAAATCATCATCTTCCTCTCTTTGACAGGCAATCTCATCATCATCGAATTCCTCATAGCCTTCTTCGTCATAGAACGACTGGAAATTTCTTCTTGAAACCAGCTGCCCTCCCAAGGGTTGATGTCGTCGTACATGCTCATACAAAGGTCGTTGTATAGCTTGACCTCTTATTCCCTCTTCTCGTCGACCCTTAGGGTTAGGGTTCAAGTTCAAGTCATGTTGAGGATGGGGTTGTTCTTGCTCGCGCGGTTGAGGTTGCTCCTGTTGGCGCCTTTTCAATGCTTTGAATCTCATCGTGAAAGATGCTAGTTGTGCGGTAATTTGTTGTAGGGTTGTTGCTACTTCTTGGTTTGCTTGATTCTCTGCCATTGTTGATCTTCCAAGGCTTCATGAGATCAATACCTTCAACCTTGTCTCTTGCGGCACAAGAAACCTTCATAAATGACCAAGATCTGCTTCCTTGACGTCCAAGACTCTCAAGAATGCTTCAAGAACATGCCAAGATCTCCAAGAAACCTCATCTTCTCCAGTGCGTTTGAACCAGGCTCTGGTACAACTTGATATGACCCTTATTCGAAGAGATCCTTGAATTTGGACCAAAACACCAAATTTGCATACGTCGAACTATTTTGGGGTTTTCTCCTTTCTTGAATAACACGAAAAGTAAAGATAGATGTGAAAATCGATCAAAAAATTCAGGACATGTGGGAAAGGCCAATTGATATAGTCGAACTCGCCACAACTAGATATGATCTTCTAGTTGATAAGAGACACTTAAACCTCCCGAATTCTTTAAGGAAATTTAAGCAAACGTTCTAAGAAGAACACGAGTAAACACTCTCAATATTGATAACCGAAATCTTAATGTTTCATTACAAAGGTTCGTCCTATTTAAATAAGCAAAAGAACCCAAAAACCAAACTACAAAGGATAACCAAATCCTACCTTAAAAAGGGAAACAAAACCTTAACAAACAAGTAAAAGACTAAGTCAAAACTCCTCCGTATTCCATGCCTTCAAATTTGCCCCTTGTGTTCACACTTAGGATTTGATTCACACCTTCATTCCTTTCACACTATGAGAACCCCATCTAGGCTGAATCCACCTCTCCTTCTTTCAAGCCCATCTCCTCTTCATTCTGGTCCATAAGTTGTAGCAATGTATGGACTTTCCTTCTAGCAACTCCACATCCATGCCCTTCAATTGTGGACCCAAATAACTTGAAATTTTTTCCCCTTACAGCCTTAGCTTTGGTACGAGTCATTGGGAATTCTTCTTGAGTAGGCTTGGTCTTGATGACCTCATCACGATCTACGTCAGCACCACATAAAGTGCATTGTATCTTACAATGGTTGTGCGCTTCGACCACCTGATAGTCTTTTCAGTGAATATGGGGCGCATGGTACCAGCTTTGCCGATGCCCTTACTATTCTGGACAGACGTCTTATTTATCGTCGTGCGCCCTGAAGAAGGTTCTAGTCATCAGCTCGTGCCTGTGTCCAGCCCATTGGATATCATGTTAGGCTTGTTGTCGGCCTTCTTCCTTGTGTTTTCAACCACCAGGCTTTTCTGAGAGCAAGCCCAATAATTGTCCCCCAATTAGGCGCTCAAGAAGGTTTCTCGAGCATCTAATTATGTCTTTGGTGTCACTAATGCGCCTCGTTTGTCCGTTTCTCTCAGTCGTTTGTGCATGCTTCTTTTCCACTCTGTACGATTGCAGGTGGAAATCAGAGTAGCATAGGCGCATGTCATCGGGACTAACACCTCTTTGTCTTCAGGATCAACAGAGTTTCCTTGGTGGGTAATGGGCATGTGGTCGGATAAAAGGCTATGGTGTCTTCGATTTTGGCCGACACGATTTTTGTCCTCTTCCACTACTCTACCACCAGCAGCATATTGGCGATATGATGGAGGATCTGGAGACCAGACAAACTGGTGGCCTGCCCATGAAATGCCACAGTTCCTCCACATTTGATTCGGGTTGCTGACCGTCGCTTGCCGCTTGGCGTTCGCATGGACCTATACAATTGTTCGACCCGCCTTAAAAAAATTCATGCCTACGCCACTGTATGCACCTACGTCACATCTTGAGTCGACACATCTCTCGTCTTAGGTTGCTCGAATAGGCGCCTATGTCCAATTTCACCTTTATCTTCGAAACAAATTTCTTTTCCTTGTATTTTTTTTTCTCGCTTTCTCATCTAAGTTTCTCTTGAACTATGCAGCTTCTTCTGCTTGCCGGCTCACAGGAGAAGGCGCAGTTGGTGGAGGATAAGGCGGAGACAACGAGCTCTCATTTCTACCATCTGGATGACTTAGACAGCGCCATCAGACAAAGGGATGAGTTGGTCCATACTTGTAACGACGCTCAGTTACAATGGGCTAACTACACTTCCAAACTCGAGATGGCAGTACGCACAGACCACAAGAAGGTTAGAACCGAGGTCGAATGTGATCTCCTTGTTGAATTCGATGATCAATTCAATAGAGTTTCTAGAGAGAAAAGTGCTTCTAGTTGCCTTTTAGTAAGAGAATCCAAACTAAATAAAATCGACTACCGACACCCTATTATACCTGGGGTCCGACATGTCCCCTCTTTAGCTGCCCTATCTCAGCACCACATTAAATAATATGGGCACAAATCCAATGCATGCCTTTACTTAAGCGCAGATGTGTTGACCTTGATGGTGTGTTGTCCAAGTTGAATGGGTATAAACGGGTAGTTTGGGTACCCGTTATCCGTCCCCTACGAGTTAACGGGTACCCGTTACCCATACGGGTTTGGGATGAACTTTGATCTCCAAACTGGATTGGGTACAGTCCCGCTTCCCACCCCTAACAACGATTGTGTGCCTCAACCAACCCTTCCCATGAAGGTTTTGGTCATGGGCGAATGTCTAATCTATCGTCGTGCGTCCTGATGGAGGTTCTGATAATGGCCTCGCGCCTGCCTTCGGGCTATTGGCTAGCTTGTTGGGCTTGCTGCCGACCTTCTTCCTTACTTCGTTAGCCCACTAGGCTTTGCTTGTGGACATTTCTGGAAGCATGCCCAACACTTTCAAAGAGTTGAGCTCTTTTTTTTTTCTTTCTTTCTTTCTTTCACAAAGACATGTTACAAGGCCCTATTAGTGGTACGACCACTCGACCATGGCCTCATTCGCAGAATTGAGCTCTTTAAAACCAAAGGACTTTCCATACAAAACATTAATGACATTTATTTTAATATTTTTGGTATATTACGGGTGCAGTGAAAAATGTGGTTCTACTTAAAATTTTTTTAGTGATCTCGAAGCATTAAAACGTAGATTTTAGATTTTAAAGCGTGATTATGACTATATTAGTAAGAGAAAAGCACGATTCTACTTAGAAGCAGAGTCATAATCTAAGTGTTGGGAGGGGTCCATGGTAGCCCTTTGAGATGGGACATGCACCCACAAACATAAAAGTATTAGTATGTAGTGAACGATATATGAGCTATCAATTTCAATGTTTGCGCTTTTATTAATGCACCCCTTGAATGAAATCCTATTTACCTCACTACATAGAAATATTTGGTGATCTAAAAGTACTAAAACGTAAGCTATTAAACGCAAAATCAATCGACATGTATACTTTTTGACTTCTCAGTTTTATCCGATCAATTGCAGCACTCTAGTCCAGTCACATATATGGAAAGTTAAGCATGCAAATGACAAAATAGGCGCACCTTTAATATTCTCAACATCCGTACACGAGTCCAAGAACAAAACTTTGTTGCAAACTGTGAATACCGCTAGAAAGACAGCTTGAGTTAACTCGACCACAAACTATCGCCCCCTTCCTCGGCGCTTCCGGAGGGGAGAATAAAAGAACCTATGATAAGGTGAATCAATCAGGCATTTGCAGACAGCATTGTAGTCATCCTTTGATGTAACTCAGCACTAAAGACCAGGTGTTTATTACTCTTTCGGACGATGATCATGTTGCAGTGCCCTTCTTCTTTGCCAAGCTAAAGAAGAAAATCTCCACATTCTATTCCATACCAAGAAAGGCACAGGCCGTTTCTTCTCTATGCAGCCATACTTTTTGAAACACGAACTCGAAACAGCTTTAGGAAGCTCTATACCGGAAGTTGCTTGTGAGCTATCAATGCAGGTGGCTTTCTTGGTGAAAAGAGCAATGAAGAAGCCTTCTTTGTCTTCAGCTGGATCCATCCGGAGTAAGTGGTCAGCTGCAGTTGGCAACACAAATCAAGATCCAGAAATTAACTTAACATTGCCGCTGAGCATATTACAATAGTTGTGCATATTCCTATCCACTAAATGTTACTAAGGATACACGACTTACAGCCTTGGAGAACAGGAAGACCACGACGAGTCCATTGAGGGAAGGGAGTTGACAGCTCAAAGCCAAGGGATGAAGCCAAAGGGAGAACAGAACTAACCACATCCTCATTCTCAATTCGGTTAACTGAGCACGTGCTGTATACTACTTTTTCAACGGAAGGAACTGTAAGTTTCAGCCGAAAACTAGTTAGATGTAGCTTTAACATTTACAGGACAGAATAAAAAATCACAAATATATTACAAGCTCCCAAAATTCTCATCATTCAGCCACACTGAATCCTTCTGTAAGAAATCAATGACTAGTCACTCTTATTGGACTGAAATGAACCAAGATTGAGGTAAAACCACAGTGAATGAAAAGAACAGAGAAAAGTGAAACGTACAAGATAGGGCATGGATCAAGGCCTTCTTCTGAAAACCAGCAAGCTTGTTCAGTCGTTCTGTGTCATCATCATGAGTAGAATGTGAAGGTAGTAGATGGTCTAATCTCTGCGCAGCAGTACCAGATCCAGAACAAGATGGGTCCAAAAGGATAGCACGGATCTGACAATAAGAAGAATAGCAGATTAAAGCTGTCTGCCAGTGAACCTTCCAATTATCAGGAAAAGGACGGGCATATCTCTCAAACCTCTACGTTTTTTCAATTGCTCACCTGGCTAAAGGAAGAATGATGTGGGTCCAGATTCAGGAAGTCACCATGAAAAATTTCAATATCTAGAAGGCTAGTTAAGAGTGTTGAGCCAAAAATGCAAGCCGTTATATGGTAAAATCATGAACTGCTATCCATCATGATAGTAGTGGTAGGTCCACAGGGGGATCTCAACAGTTAAGAAAAAGAAGTATGCTAGGTGTGATATGTTCACAAAGCAGTAGACAGTTGTAACTTTTCATGGTGACTTACGATTCCATAAAAAGAACAGTAAGAGAAGACCACTGGAGAAAAGGATACTTCTAGCTCCAGAAAGTTTAACAGTATCTTCCAGGCGTTTAATCCTATCTTTGTTCAGTTCACATGCCACAATCTTTCCCTTTCCGTTCATGAGGGCAGCTAGGTGAACAGTTTTATTTCCCGGCGCTGCACAAGCATCAATAACCTTTACAGAAGGTAGAAAATTAGACGATAAATAACCCAAACTATTCATTGTCATTTGCTCAGGTGCATAAAAATGCCTCTATTTTGCATAGATTTTCCTACTTCAACTTTCAGTTAAAGTTCAACAGCGTACCTGTGTCCTAATGAAAAAGAGAGAAAAATTCAAATATGGTCGAGCTGTGTCATTTAACAGCGTAACCACGCTAAAAGATCATCGCCATAATACAGCTATTTCTCCCAGATTAATTTTTAGCAAATGCAAAAGAGAGAAAAGAAAAAAGATATCCTGCACAAGAAGATCGCAAAGAAAGAAACTGCATATCTGCATTATGTAACGAACAAAACTTAACCATGAACCCATACTTGCCAGCCAGGTCTGGGATCAAGAGCTGCCGCAACCATTGAGCTTGCCCTTCCCTAGAGAAGTGCACAACAGTTAAACAACTGAAGAATACTGAAACTGAGATGAATTGCATGTCATACACAGAGTATCAATCTATAAGGGGAGGTAAACATAAAGAGGAACTCAAGAACATGCCTTCCTACATGTGCTTGAACTTCCAGGGTTTTAGTTCCCTGTCACAGATTTCATTCATGTGTTCCTACCGTCATATGCATATTGGCTTTCCAGGACTGTATAAATGTATCAGATTTAGGACTGACTTAAGGAATATACTCTGATATGAAATCTGAAGAATTCAAGAGTTTTAGTATTCTCAGTGAAGAGTTAGTAATCAGTATCTGTAACATCACACCAATATCAATTTTTGCCTTAGTATACAATTATACACTCATGAAGTGATTTCAACTAGCTGAATTCATCCTTAATTTCCAAGTTTATTCTCAATTTTTTTAGCTTTCTTCAACTTCTGAGACTACAGGTCTCATTGTGGTCTTTTCAGCTGCCACTATCTGCCTCTTGATTTCTTAATTGGCAGAGACTTAACTTTCCAGTTCAATATAAAGTAATTCAATGGTCTTCATGATATTTTTTATTTTTCTCAATGGTCCTTTACATTTTCTTTCCTGGTCAAAAGTCCGCATCCTACGAGGACAGAAAATTTTAGCACAGAAGCTTACTTGCACGAAGACACTTCCGCCCAAGACAAGAGGATGACTGTGCAAATCGGTATTCGGTGGGAGTATCAGTAAGTTAGGAACCAACGCATCTCTCTCAACCTATTCCACAGCAAACATGGGTAATTCAGTCCACAGTAGTCTTTGGAAAACCACCATAATTTACTATTTGCTTGCGAAAGTACCTTGAACTGCTCGCTTAGTTGACGTGAGGCTGAATCCACATCCACTTTCAGAGTATTTACACGAACAAAACACGGTTTTGAAATATCTACGAAGCAAAACCCATCAAAGTGTTATTAATAAAACAACTTATTACCATCATCAAAACGTACTGTCTAACCTCACAAAATAGGGCTTTTAAACATACTTTTGAAGGAAAAAAGTGTTCATAAAATAAGTGAAAACACCAACAACATTACATACCAGGAGGTTGGTAAAGTTCAATCAAATCATCAACGTGCTTGACCTTTTTGCTCACTAGAAGTCTTGCTAGAGCAGACTGTATCGACCCTTTCCTGCCCGTGAGAAACTTCTCCGCATCACCACCAACCAATGAAGCTTCCTAGTTATTCAAATGTTGAAGTCAAACACCAATCATAAATTAGAACTACTAACCACCAAAGAAAGTTCCACAATCACATTGAATCATTAATCGCTTGATTAGCCTATAAACCGACTTGCAACTTATTGCCCCAAACTTCCCACTCACTTTAACCTTACAGAACATGGAGATTGTGAACTTACCTTTCCAAATAGAATATCATACGTCATTATGTACATCAGCTCCTCCTGTTTCTGCAAAGCGAAAAACAAAATCTAAGATCTTTTTGATTCTCATAAACTTACTTTTGCGGGTCAGGCAATTCCAATTCTAAACGAGCGATACAGAGAGAATACGCCATATTTACCTTCCACTTGCTGTTCAGTATATTGCCAGACTCCAACACTTCCTTGATAATGCGAAGGTCTGAAGGTTGAACAACCCACAAATTAGAACATTCATATAACTCCGCTCAATTACAAGTGCCAAAATGTGCTTTTGACTGGCATTTGGCAGAAAGTGAAAGCATTCTCTTCTTTCAGAGGCACCATTAAGGACGATTGTCGAGTTTTGCGAGCAAACTTACGCTTCAGGGTTTGGCAAACCAGAGCGAAAGTTGCCCTTTTGTTCCTAACTGAGGGACCGTAAACGATGGATTTGATAGAGCAAGCTGCTCGCCGCCGAGCATCACCTTGGAGAACGGTTCGTAAGACCTTGGAGGCTTCTCTCCTTGCGAAGTAAGCTGAGCGATCAGCGCTGCTCAACCGCCGCTGCTCCAACTTCACTGCCGCTCCCGGCGGCTTGGGTTTAGTTGCAGGCCGTTGGGTTCGCACCATTGCTCCAATGCCTAGAACCGAATAGCAATTTCAAGGAGGGCAAATATATACGAACGAATCAGCTGATTTGCCCTTTCTTATGAAACATTAAACGACGACGTCCAGGTGCAGGCCCGTTTCGGACAGAAAGTCATAAAGGTGTTCAAATGGTATGATTAGCGTGTTAACCATTTTAATCGATAGTATTCGCCTATTTGGATAAATTTGTTTGATTATTTGAATAATTGATTTGACTTGGTTAAAAATTTTACTTATTTGGTTTAGGTGGTTTGGTCAGATTTCAGTCACTCATAACCAATCATATCAATTAACCAATTAAGTAATTAGTCATATATCTAATACTCTCGTACTTAATACTTTACATAACTACTCAAGATCAAGTGTTACTCCATTTTGGATCTATAAAAATAAATAAAGCTCATTATTTTTTTATATTGTATTATTCTTATAGATAATAGACAACAAAATATGGACACCTAATTTAGATAATCTCATACATTGTATTGGATAAAAAAGTGAAAGCGAAGAATTTTTTATCCTTTGATAATTGCAAACAGACTAAGACAATTCACACAGACACACTCAATTCATTAACCTCATATAATTATCATATATTTTCATTAGGTGGCTACTTCTAGTAACCCGGTTAACCAATTAACCAACATATTAAACTTTAGTTTTGTTAATTTTGTTGTTGTAGTTTGGTCATTTTGGTTTTGATATTTTGTTTCATAGTTAATAGAATTCAGCCTTAATTGATTTCATAATTATCATGATAACCATTTGAAACACATTTAGGAAGTTAGGAACTCGTGGCTAGAGTTTTGAGTGCATATTTAGGGGTGATTAGGAGTGGAAATATAAGTAAGAATTGGTTTCAGTTACCATATAATGCAGTAATTGGGTTAAAAACCACATTTGGATGAGCAAAAATGATGTGGAAATGGGGCATGGAAATTGGACCATGGTTGTCACGCTGGTTGAACCTGGTTCAATCGGTGTCGGTTATGAAAATGCAGTGAACATCACTAATATGACTAACATTATCAATTTACGATTTATAAGCAAAATGGCGTAGCTTTAGTGAATTTAATTAATAAAATATTAATTTATTACTTCTTTTATGAATTTAAAAGTTAAATGTTGATATTATTTGTTTGATTCAAGTATAAACATTTAGATATTGACATTAAATATTATATTTAAATATGAGTATTTTTTATTTTATTTGAAATATTGTATTGCATTGTATTTTATTTTATTTAAATATGAATATGGATTTTAAGTAATTTATCTTTAAATATGTTTTATATGTGATTAAATTTATTTTCTTATCAAATGGATGCAACGACACCCTATCTTTCATTCAAAACCACCCGGGATTTAAACTTCGGTATGCCTTTGTATTTCATACATAATCCAGTTGCACATATTGGGATCAAACAACCGAAACATATGAAAGACAAGCAGCACACTATGTCCTCTGTTAGCCTAAAAATCAGCACACTTATTTCCCTCTCGGTAAATGTAGGTAATGAAAACGTCCCACTCTCTATGAAGTAGCTCAAAAGCTCTATCCAAAATGGCAGCATGGTGATGCTCGATGAGACTAGTTCTCCCAAGCAGTTGACAAGCACAAACGAAGTCCATTTCCAATCTCACGCGCCTGTATCTAGCATCCCAAACTTTCTGAAGACCTTCAACAGAGGCCCTCAACTCCGTCTGGGTAAAAGAGCAACTCCCCATGTTAATGGTAACATAGCGTCCTAGATTATCTCGTACAAGGCCACCACTTGCGAACGAAGTCATCCATGCTGAGGGTGACACACTTGGGAGATGGCGGCACCCATGAGATCTTCACATCCATTCTTACGGGCGGATTAGGCTGGCGAATGTGTCTATCCTTGTCCTATTGTTCGTGGCATCTCTCGTGACAGTTATCCCTGCATGGACGCACTGTATGAAGGTTTTAGAAGTGACAATCTTGCTTGCAACGACACGATTGTTCCTTGTATTCCAAAAAGACCAGTAAATGAGACAAAAATCAAAGCCAGCTGCGGTTCAAGCGGTGATTTTCAGCAATTTTGGCGGTTTGTCAGTTCATGATAATCACAACGTTTTTGTTGCTTTCTCTCTAATTGACAATAGCAGTCCGACTACTTAGATGAGTTTGTCTCCGGCCATCGACAACAATTTTCCCTCTAATTCATGTTGGAAAGAGGGTCGATGATGGGGGATGTTGTGAAGCCTATGTTTGTTGAAAATTAGGGTGATGACTATTTATTAGCCAAACATTTTTCAGATTCTTTTGTATGAGCCAAACCTATTGAAATACTAAAAATTAGCCAAACATTTTGTAATGCATCAAAATATTAGCCATTTTTACGTCATCGTTAATAATTTTGTAATTCTTTTCTTAGTTAAAATACTAAAATTTTGAAATGTTAACCTCTATGTATCTATTCCAAGTTAGAATCATGTTGCCAAGTCAATATTACTAACAAAATTGCTAACTGGAAGTTAGCATTTGGCTAATTATTAGTAATTCAATAGGTTTGGCTAATAAAAAAGAATATGGAAAAAATTTGGCTAATAATTATTTGATTTTTTTAATTGACACTTCAGACCATCATCGATCAAATCTAATCGTTGACTGCCATGTCATTAAAAAAATGTTAGTCCAATCAACATTTAAGTTAACACCGTTAAAGAATTGGACGAAATCATATATTTTGTGTATTTTTCAAAAAATGGCTATTATTGACAACAACGAGAAAGTATTGGCTATACAAGTGTATTTTGCCATAAATTTTCCAATACAACATTTTGTATGATTTTACTGGCCTTAGTATTTAAACAATTCCATATATGTAAGCTTGTTGTTTATTGACCATGCATAAATTTTTGGGTGCGCCTATGGTGTCTTGCATGTCATCGTAACTTGCACTTTTCGGTGACCTCAGTTAGGATAGGTCGACCTAATCTGTTGTTTCAGTGTAAAAACAGTTTCATGGTGCCTACTTTTGAGATTTATATCTTACAATTGGCTCAATGGAAATTGGAGATTAATAGCTCGTTGTGAAGCTGGAGTGTCCCTCTATATATTGAAGTGTTTGGGAGCTATTTTAGGCCAAATTTGTCAATTTCTATCAAAATTCTGACAAAATAATATTATTTGAACTTCAAATCATAATTGTCTTTTACATCAAAGTTCAGATCCAAATAGGCTGTTTATCATTTTCTTAATAAATAAATAAAGTGGAAGTCATTTCATAGTTACCTCAGCATTGTATGGTGAGTCAAGACGGAAAAAATGTTTGATTGTCAATATTAACGGTCAACCCAAATTTCGGGCAGCATTTGGTAATTTCTTTCAAAATTTAGACAAAACAGTCTTATTTGAAAGTTCAGGAAAAAAATGCCTTTTACGTCAAAGTTCAAGCCCAAATAGGGTATTATCCCTTAGGAATATACTTGATAGAAAGTTATCGAATGTAAAGATGGTCACTCATTTCTAATACTAGCAATGACAAGTATATCATTGTTAGACTTGTAGTAAAGTGGCGCGATCATATTTAACGATGCCCCCAATACCCTAGCCTACTATAGCAAAGCACAATTACTAGTCGATCACCTATTGTTGGTTGGCACTAAGGAAATTATGCTACTATGTAGCAAGAGAAAGAAAGCGATACTTGGGACAAACCAACCTCGCCCAAACTTACATATAAACATTCAAATGATAGCTAAATAAGTTCATGGCAATTGTAATGCAAAGGTCACTAAAGCGGGATCAGTGCAATGGTCATGTCTCTGACCCCTCCCAGCCAAGTCAACCGATCATAATCATCTCATCCAATTTTTCTAACTAGGGATAGATACTACCTCCTCTAAACGAGTCTAACTCGTATGCACAGAAGTTTGATGAGTCAGTGGTCATGCACTCATCTAACAAGCATCATCTAGGTGAGCTCCTAGTAGGCAGGAAATGGCCACCTTGTCCGCCAACTATGACTCCCAATCAACTAACTTATATATGATACAACCATTCATACACAATCAAGAAATAAACTGGGGCTAATTCATGTCATATACCCAATCATGCATCCATATCACAACTAGTCCCGTCAAGAACGCTAGATAAACACAAACAAGTCATAAATTATCAAACAATATTCATCTATATTGGATTCAAGATTTTAGAATTGACCCATTTGGTTGGTCAACCTCATGAGCCAAGAAGCAAGCATCCAACACACAATTAAGGCACTAGATAGCATTAGTCACAATCAAATGGTCGGATCACATAAATTCACTACATGAAGTTAGAGTTTCTTGACCTAACAAAAGGTTTACCCCTATCAAAGAAGAGAAGAAATAATTACAAAGAGGAAAGGAGAACACCATCTTCAAGGAAAACCATTTATTCAATTCCATCTTTTAGCTTCAAAATCTTTCCAAGGAGATGAGCAATCTTACCACTCTTCTCTTGTGTTCTCACTATTACTTTTCTCAGTTTTGGTATAGTGTTCACGGGTACATTTGGGAGATGACGAGTGTGATCATTTGGAGACGAGGGGTCATGTTATGTCAAGATCAGTTTTGGATACGCTCGGGTACTAATACCCTTTGTAGATGAGGAGATTATGTTATCTCACAATTAGTGCTGGACACGATCACCACCACGTATTATTGATGAGGAGGCTATGTTATGATATGTTGTTTCGGAATGATTGCACTAGTTAAATCGAGGGTGAGACCATCTCAATAATCAAGATACACATTTCAAGAAAATTAACAAGGAAACTTTTAAGTTAAGACTAAGAATATATGTTCATAATGATAGGCACTCTCTAATAGCGTGCCCTAAGTTTGGCATATGCACGTTATTTGTTTATGCATTCATGAACTAGGGCTAGGATTGATCATGACACTCAGCACTCAGGATTTGTAGGAGCATCAGAAGCATGCCTAGAATTCCCTTAGTTAATCACGCGGATTAGCATTCCAGAGAACTCCAGCGTGAAGATAGTTAAGTTTCAGTACTACTAGTAGGACTTGAGACTGATGTGCATTTGTTAATGATGTAAGCTGTTGCGAGTTTTCAATGAATTGTTATATGAGTTTGATGGGTACACGGTCGGGAAGGGGTGGCCGACGTGAGATAGGTGGGCTTTTGGGGTTGGGTCGTTAGTTATTCGTATTAGTTCAGTAGTTAAAATAGGAAGAGGTCTCGTAGGAGGCCGAGTCGGCTAGGTTTGGGATTAGGGTTTCGATTAGTAGTCTATATATATTGTAAGTTTGGTGTTAGTCTGGGTTATCGAATAATAAAACTAAAGGTTTATCGACGCCCAAGTCATTCTCCCATTCGTGAGTTACGAGCAAACCCTTGGAACGTGGGTTACATTCCCATCAAATTGGTATCAGAGTCGTTACGATCTGCAATGGACGGGACAGCGGCGGAAAGGTGCTTGGCCCTTGAGGCGACAGTCGAGCAACTCTAGGCGAGTCAGACCGAGATGGTGGAGTCCGTCCAAGCGCTGCGCGCCGAGTTCTCAGAGGTGCTGCAGGTGGTGCGCTTGCTGACGGAGCGCTTGAATCGGAAGGAGGGGAAGGAGACCATGAGCGACGGGGAGGACGACGTCGGGGACGACTCGTCCGCAACCAAGGCGGCCGCTGCGAAGTTGGAGACGCCAGGGAAGGTGATGGGGGAGACTAGCACCGCGGGGTCAAATGATTGGGTGGAGGCAGCAGCGGCAGAGCGTTTCTCACCAAGCTGGCACGATCGGAGTTCCCCAAGTTCGGCGGGGAGTACCCAGGCGCCTGTTTTCCGCGGGTCGAAAAGTTCTTCGAGTACCAGGAGGTGCCAGACGAGCAGAGGGTCGTGTTAGCTTCTTTTCACCTGGAAGAGGAGGCTAACCAATGGTGACAATGGCTGAAACGGATATACAAGGACGCTGGCAAGGTGATTTCGTGGGAACTATTCTCCCAGAGGCTATGGGCTCGTTTTGGGCCAACAGAAGGGGAGAGTTGTGATGAAGTCTTGTCCCGTATTCGCCAGACAGGCTCCTTGCGCGACTACCAGCGTGACTTCGAGAAGTTGGCTAACTGGTGCGTGGGATGGACGCAACAAGCCTTGGTGGGCACGTATTTGGGCGGCCTAAAGCCCGAAATTGCTGACGAAATATGTATGTTCCGTCCAGCAACACTGCGAGGCACAATTAGCCTTGTGCACATGAAAAATGATCAACTCCAGCGCCAAAAACCAGCGACGCCGTTGACATGGCACCACACCAGGGGTTTGGAGGAGGGCCGCTTCCGCAGCGAGCTGCGATCTCGCGGGCAGGGGGCAACTCGGGCCCCAATCGAGGGCCAGGAGCAGGGAAGAGGTTTAGTTGGGAGGAACAGCAGCTCAGGCGCGCCTAGGGGCTGTGTTTCAATTGTGACGAACGTTTTACGATTTGGTTGGGGTTTCAGTTATTACTTTGACTAAAATATCAGTACCATACCATTAAATATAAAATGAACGGTAAGGTAAGGACATGGAAAAACAACGAATTTTTTTTCTTCATAAATAGATAAATTTTCATAAATAGAATACCGTTATTATAATATTTGAAACCAACTCTGATGGGAACGTAACCCCCGTTCCAAGGGTTTGCTCGTAACTCACGAACGGGAGAACGACTTGGGCGTCGATAAACCTTTAGTTTTATTATTCGATAACCCGGACTAACGCCGAACTTACAATATATATAGACTACTAATCGAAACCCTAATCCTAACCTTAGCCGACTCGGCCTCCTACGAGACCTCTTCCTATTTGGACTACTGAACTAATACGAATAACTAACGACCCAACCCCAAAACCCCAAATTCGTTGTTTTTCCATGTCCTTACCTTACCGTTCATTTTATATTTAATGGTATGGTACTGATATTTTAGTCAAATTAATAACCGACAGTGTTACAACTTCAGTACATTTTATTCTTTTTTTTTTTTTTGCTTCGTACATGACTTTGTACGTTTATTACATATTTCATTGCGTAATGTGTATGATTTCGTACGGAATTTTTTTTCTCCCTGGCTTTCTTGACATCTTTATGAAAATATTTCAAAATTGATAAAATTGTTGTATCCGTTAGCCTCTAAGATCATCTATTTTATCCAGCAGCCGCATCAAATTTCATAGTAAGGGTACATAATAATATGCTTATTTTGGCATAGTAACCGACTCCTATGTTAAATAAGCCAGGGATGACATGGCAAGAAGATGCATTAAAAGTAGTGAAAGCAAAAAGGCAGTCATGGTCGCTATTGATTTTGACTTGAATTCCTGGGCGTAGTGAAGGGGTTGGTCTGGTCATACGCACGAGACGTTCCGTTTTACACACATTACAGACCACAACAAGTCCACCCCGGGCCCTCAAGTCGTCTCACGACCTTCATCATTCCCCCACTCATGCTGAGGTAAGCGCTTACCAAGACGATCGATGATCAGTAACTGGTTCGACAGGATGATCACATCACACCTCATTTTTAAAATACGAAAACATAACTTAAAAAAAAAAATACAGTTAAATAATTTAGTAAAACGGTATTGTATGGATGGTCCGACCGATAAAACCTCGTATTGAGATTATCTACAATGTACAGTTTTTAGCGCGGTATAACGTACGGTTGTACTACGCGATTAAACTACAGTTCCAGAATAAAATATATTATTGGTGGTTTTTCTGTGCAACGACTTCTGGTACGGTTTTACAATCGTTTTTTTTTATAACTAAACTAAACCGAAAGAGAAACCAAATAACAAGGTAAAGAAAACCAGCTAAATGTGCGCAGTCGCTGTTAGCTACAGTAGCTGGGGCCTTTCATAACTCCAATCAATTAATCTGTGGGATGAAAATTTTGAGAGCCTAAAAAAAAAAGCAGAATGAATGAATGAACGTTGAAGTTTCGCTGCACCATCGCAGGAAGCTCCTTCCCCAAGCCGCCTGCTGCCTGCCTGCCTGTGATCGGCCCCTTCCCTTCTCTACCTTAATTAAATATATAGTTTATAAAATGCTAGCTCCGATCCTCACTCTCGGTCGGACTCGACTGCCTCAGATCAGAAACATTTGCTAGCTTGCTAGTCATCAGATCACCTTGGCCGGCGACATGTCCGATTTCAGGAATAACCCTACTGCTGCTGAAGGTACAGACGACGACGAGCGGTACTTATATGGAGATGGCAGCACCGCCTTGGAGCTGTCGGAGTTGCTCAAGTTCGACGAGTGGGTGGAAACGGAGGATCACCCGCGGTCCTTCGCCGGCGTTTCCACCGGATCCTCCAGTACTGGTAAGACATGTGCCCACAATATTCCATCTTTTTCCTTAGCTTGTTCAAATAGCTAGCTTTGCACGTTTGTTAACCTGTGAGAGACCTACCTGGCATGCATGTATAACATGCACACAGATCTGCACAGCCAGCCCGCTATCACTACATATGCTTTACTTCCTATGCTATGGCGAGGAATTTTACAATGCTTTAAAGCATTGGTGCTTTAGTTTTTGCTTTTATGGTACAACTTGAAGTTGTACATTTAACGTTATGGTAAAACTTTAGGTTGTACCTATACTCTTTTGTAAAATCCTTTTGTGGTACAACTTAAAATTGTACTTTAAAGCACCAATACTTTAAAGCATAATAGAAAGGCTCATGCTATGACTTGCCTGCTGATTCTTGCAACTGACTGTGAAAACTATAGTTGAAGAGATTAATTTTGTTTTTTTGTTTTTTGTTTTTGTTTTAGTTCAATGATGAGAAATCATTGTCCAAGTTAAACTCGGGCCACCATGAAGGAATTAGGCCTAGTTTTTGTTTTGTTAGTACAGAATCGTTTATGTTGTTGTTGTTGTTCTCATTATTAATTAGGCACTCCCTCCCTACTCCCTAGTAGGGATGGTAATGGGCAGTTTTGGGTGGATTTCACTAAATTATTTCCTAATCTCACTTTCAATTTGTAAGTCAATACCCTCATCCCAATTCTCACCTTCATAGATTTTCGGATATTATCCTTCTTGCAAATTCAAATCCAAACCAAAATTTAGAAATTTTAATGTAATTAAATGGAAAGCACAAACGATTTAGAGTTAGGACGTCGAACAAAGATTGTATATCATAAAGGAACCACAATAAGTATGAGAAACATATAGCAAAACTTTAAATTCTTAGGAAAACTAGAGATAACAAGTGGCATATATATGCATTGTTGGAATTGGAAAAGTGAATTGAAGATTTTTAGCATTGTATTATTTTAAGATTTTAGCTTAACGGAGGAGGGATAGATGAGAAGACATGTACGTGATTGGTTTAAGGGAGTATATGAATTACATGCAGGACAAAAAGAAGATAAAGGGTAGTCTTAGTTATCAATTGCTTTATTTATTTTGTTCATGAAAAATTAGAACAATCTAACAGGAGAGGGAGCGGGGTCGAGGTCGGCGCTGGCAAAAGAAAGGGTTGCATTTAAGACCAAATCAGAGGTGGAGGTACTGGACGATGGCTACAAATGGAGGAAGTACGGCAAGAAGATGGTCAAAAACAGCCCAAATCCAAGGTATCATGCAGTTTTATGGCATTTAATTTAATGTTATTACTGGAGATCTGATGAGGAGGATTTTTGGGTACACGTACTACTGACTGCAGGAACTACTATAAGTGCTCAACCGAAAGGTGTTCAGTGAAGAAGAGAGTGGAGAGAGACAGGGATGATCCCTCCTACGTGATTACCACCTACGAAGGAGTCCATAACCACCAAACTTAGCTAGCTAGCTATACCCTCGATCTCTTGAACTTCTGCTTCCACTTCCTCTCATATTTGTGCAATGCAGATACATATTGTATACACATGTTACTCTTAAGCAGCTGCTTGTGTAACAGATTTTGGTTGCTTATATAGTTTACCCTTGATTAGGGGTTTATCTCTTCTGTAGTATATATTTCTTGCATGATGGTTTACAAACCGTAGATTACAAAGAGAGTAAGGTTATGGGATGTAAGGATAGTCAATGTTCCCGAACAAACTCGTTGTTCCGTCACTCACAAGAAAATGTTTCTCATAGTGTAAGTCTTTTTTTACTGATCCAATAAGACATAGCTCCCCTGATAGAGTAATATCATATCACGATGTTGAGTCTCTCAGATCAATATCTCCTCCATGTGAGCATCCATATAAGCCACTCTTATAGACAATCCAAGTACCATATCAGGAATACAAGGGAAACAATCTTTGTATATTAGCTAGTGTCCACTTGGTTCATTAGTACAAGGACTTTTGGGGATGATACCCCAAAAGTAAATTTGTGTGGCTTGGTCCAAAGCGGGCGATCGTACTAATGGAGCTATCCGCTTTTAATAAGTGGTATCAGAAGGTTGGCCATTTGTTTAGGGTTTTCGAAATTCAAGAATGACTTAAGCGAATATGAGATTAGAAAGTTCATAGGGAAGAACAGTTTTAGTATTATAGCATATCAAGATGTAAACACTTTAAAAACAACAAAGGATGAGGGGCCACTATCCAATAAACTTAGGCCCTGTTTACTTTCATTTCTGTTTCCTGTTTTTGAGAAAACAAATGTTGAAAACAGGTGAAAACGACATTTTTTCGTTTTCGAAAATAGTAGGAAGCTGCCACTTTCTGTTTTCAGAGTTGGAAACGAATAGAAAACAGAATGAAAAGTAAACATGTTTTCTCATTTCGTTTGCCAAATTTATGACATGAAAACAGAAAACAGGAAACGAAAATGAAAGTGAACAGGGCCTTAGAAGGCCATGATAAGGAGTTGATTATCTTGGAGGAGATAGGCCAACTCCACAATCACGCTTTCGCTTGATGATGGCGTCATCACTGAAGTTGTCGCGGAGAAAATTGCCGCTGGACTATGCACTACAACAAACATGACCTTTGGCAATGGTAAATCTCGTCGTTGAAGCTCTGAAATCCGTCGCCAAAAGTTTCTGCAATGAAGAATGTTGTTGCCAATTCCTTCCAACTGTCGTCGCCTATATGGCGTTGCCCTAGCTTTTTGCGACGAAAAAGTGTGTATCGTCGTAAAAAGATACCATTCATCGCAAAAGGGTGGATCTTTTGTGACAACATAGTAGTCAATATTGTTTACCGGCAAAACACTTATCGCTGAAGCAATGGATTTCATGACGAATATCTTTGTTCATCTCTACATTTGGACTTAGCGTTCGCTTTAGCTAAGAATATGTTATCGCTGAATATGTGTTTGAGTGACAACATATTCGTTGCGGAATATGTGCTTTAGCGATGACATATTCGCTGCAAAAAATCTTTTCAAATTTGATACCATCCCTTTAGCGATGATAGAAGCACAACTTTGGCAACTAACCTTGATTATGGCTTTTGCACCCTGTTTTCGTGTCAAACAACTATTCACATATAAAAATAAATACAACTGAATTCTATTTCATGAAATGAAGAATAATATAACAATCTCGTTGATATGAGCATCTTGATGCATAATAGATCACTAATTGAACTTGTTTCCGACTACGACATAGATTACATTGAAAATGTAGTTGTAGATAGCTACACCTATAAAACAAAACCAAAAATTCATTGTCCATGCTCAAGTAGTAATGTATATAGAAGACTAGAACCATACACAAATATCCCCATTGTCGGTCCATGCCAAAAGATCCCCAACAACTAGTCACTGTTGGAGTCCATGCCAATAGACTCCGCTGATCTATCTGGATAAATTTGTATGTGTCCTTGGTTACTTTCCCATGCAGAACAGGAACCCGCAAGTATTTGTCAAGATTGTTCGTTCATTTAATGCCCATGGTATCACTGATTTTTTGTTTCACCTAGTCCTTGGTGTTTCTAGAGAAGAAGATGCACGACTTGTCTTTGCTGACATGTTCTCTGGAAGCCCCACAGAATCGACCGAGGCATGCCATTATTTCCTCCCCTTGTTTTTGCTCAGCCTCCGCTAATAGGACCAGATCGTAACCCTACCGAAGACCTCTAGATTGTGAAAACAAAGGTGCTTTTGAAGTAAATTTTTTTATAATTATTTATATGCTTATATTCTATTATTTAAAAGAACATCATACAAAATTTTGAAATCAAAAAAGAAAAATGCCACACGTGGAGGTTGTTGTTGGTCAATGGTTGACAGCTGACAGCAATATATAATAGACGATTAACCGATAAGTCTTATCAGTTCAGTTGTTAGCATGCGTCTTTTATTAGTGGCTAATCACTAACTGCCAAATCAATCGGTAGTTAATCGAAACTCAACCCAAATTATTCTAGTCCTTATAAAGACGATGTTCCCTTTGGACAAAAGTTCAATCAAAGAAAGGCAACCTGTATTCTTGATTTATAAGCAACTCCATAACCCAAGATGTAGGGTTTACCATTACGTTTCCTCCTAACCTAAATTCAAGTCCCTAAACTAAAACAGACTTAAATTGTGTGCTAAACACTTTAACCATGAGTGGGTACTGTACTTCTTTACATTATTTCCCCCCTGGAGGATGTAATGTATAACTGACAAAGAGTGCGGATAATCACGTTGCGTACTAAACCAAGGTGAAGTAAATAACAGTTCACTAATTCCGTGCAATTAAAGAAATGAACAAAATGGAATGCCGTATATTACTTCTAATCAAAATAATTTGCTGCTATAAAATGAACCGTCTTGTCATCTAGGCTGTAGCCGTGTAAACAAAACCATTTCCAATTTCCCGCCTTTCCAGTTCTCATCCCTCTCGCTTCCTCGCATAGCTAGGCCGGCCGGAGCAAGAATGGCGGAATTCAAAGGCCAGCCTCGTCTCCCCGAGTTCGCCGTCCCGAAACATTACGAAATCCGCCTGAAACCCGACCTCAGCTCCTTCAGATTCGCCGGCTCCGTCGCCGTTGATCTCGACATCGTCTCCAGCACCAAAGCCATCGTCCTGAATGCTGCTGAGCTCTCCATCACCTCCGGCTCCGTCTCCTTCTCCAGCAAAGCTACCTCCGAGGTAAGATACGCTGCTAATTCCCATTCCGAACTCCGAAGGGAAAAAAAACCCCGGCGAATTGCATCGTTAAACTGTGAAATCGAAAGCAGGTGATGAAGCCGGTGACGGCTGAAGCGGTGGAAGCAGACGAAATACTGATACTGGAGTTCCCCGAGACGATTCCCTTAGGGATTGGAGTTCTCAAGCTCGAATTCGAGGGAATTCTGAACGACAAGCTCAAGGGATTTTACAGAAGGTATACATGTTCTTTGTTCACTCGGTTCCCGCCCCTTGTAAATTCTTCGTCTTAATTAATTAACTGCATATGTTCAGTGCGTATACGATCAATGGAGAGACGAAGCATATGGCGGTTACTCAGTTCGAGCCTGTCGATGCGAGGAGGTGCTTCCCTTGTTGGGATGAACCAGCTCTCAAGGTCTTTCTAAGTCTTCCCTTTTCCTTTACATCGGCTATTTTCTTGAGATTGAATCTTGGCCGTTTTCTTTAAGTTCTAGCCTAGCAGTACTATGTCCTGTTGCACTTCAATCTTTTTAGATGTTACTTGGCAATAATACAGGCTACGTTCAAGATCACATTAGACGTTCCCTCGCAACTAGTTGCACTTTCCAACATGCCTGTGACCAAGGAGGAAGTAGATGGTTCTGTGAAAACAGTTTTTTATCAGGAGACACCTCTAATGTCGACCTATTTGGTTGCGGTTGTTGTCGGGATGTTGGACTATGTGGAAGATCATACGTCTGATGGTACATATGCTAAATCTGATCTCCAATGCCTGCAGTGGTTATAAAAGCAAAATCCCATTTCCTTGAAACTGATAATACCATCTGTGCAGGAGTCAAAGTTCGAGTATACAGTCAGGTAGGGAAGGCAGATCAAGCGAAATTTGCTCTGGATGTTGCTGTCAAGACACTTGAGTTCTACAAATCGTAGGTTTTGCACAATTGGACACTGACTCCAGCCTACAACACCTTTATTGGATTGAAAGTTACTCATCCCTCGCCTCTTTTTGTGTTTTTTTAACAGATACTTTTCCATTCCATATCTTCTTCCAAAGCTGGATTTGATTGCAATCCCTGACTTCGCTGCTGGGGCTATGGAGAATTATGGCTTAGTCACATTTCGTGAAACGGCCTTGCTCTTTGATGAGCAGCGTTCTGCTGCTGCTAACAAACAAAGGGTACGCCAGCCCTCCACCCAGTTTCTTTTCCTCTTTTTTTTGTCAATAATCGTCATGTGGCACCATCTAATATATTTACTACATTCCCGAATATAGAGATAACCCATAGAACATGCAAGCCAGCAGATCAAATGTATTATGTTTGATATATGTTCTTCTATCAAAAGCGACATTGCCTGATACATGATTTTCTGTATGATATAATTACTTCATTCACCTGTTGCTCAAGTAGGTCGCTGAGGTAGTGGCCCATGAACTGGCACACCAGTGGTTTGGTGATCTTGTAACAATGAAGTGGTGGACACATTTGTGGCTGAATGAAGGTTTTGCAACTTGGGTAATACCACTTCTTTTTCAGCACCGGTTTTATTTTTTTGGCATCTATTGATCTGCCTGTTATGAAACCTGGATAACCGTGGTTCTGCTTTTGCAGATGAGCCATCTTGCAAATGATAATCTCTTTCCAGAATGGAAAGTATGGACCCAGTTTCTCGGTGAATTTAGTGATGCTCTTAGGCTGGATAGCCTTGAAGAGTCGCACCCCATTGAGGTATATGAATGTGGTTTTCTATGGTTACAAAAACACTAGCAGTTGTCACCTGTTATAATGCATATTTTTTTATAACTGTTATAGTGCATTTCGGTTTCAGGTAGAGATAAATCATGCCTCCCAGATAGATGAGATATTTGATGCTATTAGCTATCAAAAGGGTGCCTCAGTTATCCGTATGCTGCACAACTATCTTGGTGCTGAACCATTCCAGGTTGGTACATATAGTTTTTAGTTTCTGCGGATTTATAAAACGAGGGCAAAGACCATTAAATGATTGAATCATTGTATACCATACTCCTGCTTCTACTATCTCAGAGGTCAATTGCTTCATACGTAAGAAAGTACGCTCACTCAAATGCGAAAACTGAAGACTTATGGACTGCCCTTGAAGAAGGATCTGGGAAACCAGTTAGCAAGCTAATGAATTTATGGACAAAGCAGAAGGGGTACCCCATTGTAGCTGTCAGTTTAGTCGAAGATCAGAAATTGAAATTTGAACAGGTAAATTGTCTTTTCCTATTGATATATTTTACCTACAATCATCTTCAAAGGTTTACTAATTTCAGTCCCTTGTACTCGGTACAATGTCCAAATGATCTTACAACACGACCCTCCGGTTCTGGTAAATTGCAGTCACAGTTCTTGCTAAATGGTGCTGCTAGTGATAGCCAATGGATTGTCCCTATATCGTCATGCTATGGGTCATATGGTGAACACAAGAGTCTTTTGCTGGAATCAAAGTCGGGAACTCTTGATATCAAGGAATTCGTGGGTTCCAATGTTGTGGAGGACAGCAGCGTATGGATCAAACTTAATGTGGCCCAGACTGGTTTCTATAGGGTGAAGTATGACAATGACCTGACAGCAAGACTGAGGACTGCCATAGAGAAGAAATACCTGAATGACATGGACAGATATGGTATGTATGAACTTTTCCTGGCCAATTTCATCCTCCTTTCTGATATTCTGCAAGAAGTTAAATCCAGCTGTTACTGTCACAGGCATTCTGGATGATGCATTCGCCCTTTGTATGGCTCGACAGCAGCCATTGACCTCGTTGCTCACTCTCTTGAGTTCATATGGGCAGGAACTTGAGTATATCGTTCTGACTAACTTGAGTAACGTGAGACTAATTTTAAGTCTGAGATTTTGCATGCTTTTCTGAAAGTAAGCTGCATGTGGAGCTGGTCATGAAATCAGCTACTTCTTTCGCAGATATGTCGAACTGTACAAAGAATAGCAGCTGATGCAACCCCAGAATTGCTGAATTCCGTTAACCAATTCTTCATCAACCTTTCCATGAACTCTGCCAAGTGCGTAATTTCATCTTAACTTGAAGCAACTGAGGTTGCTCTTTTTGGAGTTCTTTTTAAAGCCCTATTGGTTTGCTAATGTTCCCAAGTGAATTGGCAGGAGGCTTGGTTGGGATCCTAAGCAAGGTGAAAGTCATCTTGACTCAATGTTGAGAGGAGATATCCTGACAACGCTATCTTTGTTTGGACATGGCCCAACTTTAACTGAAGCAAATAAGCGATTTCAAGCATATCTAGATGACAGAAACACTCCACTGCTGCCGCCTGATATAAGACAGGTTATTGAACATGATACTGCCCTGCCAGCCATATATCAATAGCTTGTATTACTAACTCTACTAGACAACTTCTGCAGGCAACATACGTGGCTGTGATGCAGACCGTGAGTACCAAAAACACATGGGGCTATGAATCTCTTCTTCGAGTTTACAGAGAGACAGATCTGAGTCAAGAGAAAACACGCGTTCTGGGTAGCGATCATCTTCTCCACTTCCATATATTTTGTGCAAACAATCTCTTCTCTTATAACTCCTGAATCCTGATCATCACCATTTACACCGATTCCTTTTCCACTTCCCAGGTGCCCTGGCATCCTGTCCGGATCCAGATATTGTTCTGCAAGTTCTGAACTTTTTGTTGACCCCTGAGGTACGTAAACTTGTTGAACACATTGGGACATCTACTATAATACAGTGTCTAAACCAATTTTGGGAACCTGAAATATCCGTTATAACTAGGTACGAAAGCAAGATGCTGCTTTGGGACTTGCTGTCTCCAAGGAAGGGCGTGAAACCGCTTGGAAATGGTTCAAGGTACAGATAGCTCTCGATATCCTCCTGTTTTTATAGAGAGATGATTCAATCGGTTTACTGCTGCTGTCTTATTAATCTGGAAATTGCAGGCTAACTGGGAGAACATATGGCAAACGTTGGGCTCCGGGTCTTTAATAAATCGTTTCATCAAAGCTATTGTCTCCCCGGTATGCCACCCGGATTCCTTGTGTTTTTTTAGTTTCCTTATCTTGAGACACAGAAAAAACTCAAGGGCGTTTCTTGTTTCTGTTATTAATGTATGTGTGTGTGCAGTTGGCCTCTTCTGAGATGGTGAAGGAAGTGGAGAACTTCTTTCAGAATCGTACGACGGCTTCGACGTCAAGAACGGTGAAGCAAAGCATTGAGAAAGCCCGGATCAATGCGATGTGGGTTGAGAGCATTCGGAAGGAAACGAAGCTGGCAGAGGTGGTTAAGGAATTAGCAAACAGAACGTACTAAACTTGCAGCAGTATAAAACAGATTGCTTTATACTGCCTTGCACGCTTAAAAAATATATATTGGCTCCGTGACTTGTGCAGTTTGGTGTATGTAATGTAACGTGTTATACTTGAAGTATCTCTTGGACATGTAACCTGACAATCAACTGCAGCAGTCCTGCATATATGTATGTGTTGCTTCACCTGCTTTCTGATGCCCCATAATTAACAGGTTTTCAAAGGATTCTTTTTTTCTTTTTCTATTAATTACCAAAAGTTTCATGTTTGATTCCTGTTTTTGGTTTCTTGGGACATCATCAATCGATTACCTAATCAGGATTATAAGCATTCAGGGCAATCCTCAACTGCCTCCGACATTTGGTAGTGTTTTTTCTCTGTGACATGATCAATCGATGGTTTTCTTATCACACCCATGTGATGTTTGTGAAATTCATTTGGAGTAAATATAACACCCTAACCAGACATAGTAATAATATTTTTATAAAATGGATACCACTTGTATGCTGCACGTCTCTGCACCGTTAATCTAATCTAATGGCCATTATAAATTATGATGAAGTTAATAATAATAATTACTACTTGCACCCCTTAAATAATTAGATGTGCTATGAAGTCCTCTGATAATGATTACTGATATGCTTTCTCTTATGATACCTTATTTCGTAAAGATCTGTAACTGAAACACCCAAAAATTATATAAGTGATAAACAAAAGTTCCATATTACTTTGATTCGAATTAATGTATCCTCATCATCCCACACCCCAATTAAACTAATCCTAAAGGTCATTGTAAGGAAGTGGTTAAGTACCATACATGGGCCTGTATAAGATCTAGGGATGGCAATGGGTCGGGTTGGGTCGGGTTTTGCCAAACCCAAATCCAAACTCATGGGTTTATCTTTAAAAAAACCCGGGGTAAAACCCACTGGGTTTGAAAAACTCAAACCCAACCCGTTGGGTATCCGCGGGTTCATGGGTACCCACGGGTTTTGTCGTATAAAATTTACAATTACAAGTTCTTATCAAAATTAAAGTCAAATATCAATCTCTCAATACAAATTATCCATATATAAAACACCATTCTAGAAAATTCAAGCAAATCACAAATTAACTATACAAATTGTTCAACACCAATCTAGAAAACTCAAGAAAATTGAAGCAAATCACAAATTATCCATAAATAACATGTTTAATTGAAAGCTTCTTTCTTTCAATTAAGTTTCTTTACTCTCCACTCCATAACATAAACTTCATTATACACAATTAAAAAGAAAAAATTAGACATGTCTCCACAAACATAAATAAGAATAGTTGTTTATAATATTAAATATACCGAAAAAATTAATTATATGGGTGGGCGGGTACCCACGGGTCGGGTTTACCTAAACCCAAACCCAACCCGGTGAATAGTGAACGAGTTTAAACCCAAACCCGGCCTAAAACCCGTCAACACGGATTTTACCCGCGTTGACCGGGTTGGTTCGGGTGGATACCCGTGGGTTCGGGTTTTGTTGCCATCCCTAATAAGATCCGTCATCATCCTTTCATCCAAATTACTCCATAGTTAACCCTTATTTGACCATCATCATCAAACCCAACAACCATCAAAACCAAGCTGGTTGAATGCTCCGGCTTTGATTTAGGAATTTCGACGGTTGGATAACGCGGATGAGTTGGGGCTGTCACGATCGATGAATTCATTGATGCAGCTGCGGGAGTCAAGCTCCGGCGGATAGGGGGTTCAGTTGGTCAAGATATTTTAGCCTAGGTTGGAATTCGATCTGGGCGGCGGTGGGATTCAATGTGTTAAACTGGGGAGAAAAGGGATTTCGCTTGGAACGTAGGGTTGCCGGAGAGGAGAGACGTTGGTGGGATGACGGTGAGGTCAGTTGTGGGATAGTGGCGTGGGGTCGCCGAACAAGAGAGACAGTTGTGGGATGGTGATGTGGGTTGTCGTAGAAGAGAGACGGTCGTCGGATTACGATGGTGACAGTGTCGACTAGGATGGTTGGGGTGTCGAGAATCACAAAAACTGCACAGGGAAGACGAAGTGACATGACAAAACGTTGTCGTTTTGTGCTCGTTGCTGAAATGAGAGTGGCCAGGAGAACGACGTCATTCCGTAGGCGGAGCTGATTACAGGGAAGTTCGTGTTGATGGGGGAAATAACAAAGAGAGAAGTGATGGAGTATCGAACAGTCAACCTAGTGATTATGAGGGGGCATTTTCACCATCGCCGTTGTATAAGATTTTTTACTCTACACATGTGCACTTTTATCTATACAACTATAAATATGTTATGTTCTAAAATTAAAATATAAAACTAAACTAAGAAAGGACTAGGTAACTCATGACGTCTTAGAGTAGTAGAAAACAAATAAAAAATAATAACATAAATAATTAAGAAAGCAAAGCAAAATATGTGTTTTCAATAATATATGGCAAGGGTTAGGGTACACATGACGTATAATATATGTTTTCATGCACTATAATTTGCTCGTTTTCTTTTTACTAGGTGAAGGTAAACTAAAACTAAGAGTTGTAATTGTGTTGCGGGAAGTTCGTAGTATTACCAAAACTATTTTGTTTGGAAAATTAGCTTTGTGCGTAGGAGTTGTATAGATATGTATATACCAACTAGATTCAAAGTCTTATACACCACTAGGCAACAAAATAAACCAACTCAGCATTTTGATAAGGCTGGTTGTCTTTTATTTCACCAACCAATTGAAAAGAATGAATCTTGGCATCGAATTGTAATATGAGATGTTGAAGAATGGACTATTAAGTCGATTCCATTTATTTTCCTTCTGTATGTTGGACATTAGAGATGGTAAAGAGCTTGAACTGAAAGTTCTAAGCTACGGCAACAGTGCATCAAACATTCTGGCTTAAGAAATGTTCATGTTTAGTCTGAATTTGCTCACTCATCTTATGGAATAAGCGTTAAACTATGGGAAAAAAATCCCAAGTTACACATGTTTTTTAAAAAAATTCTCAAAATACACACGTTATGAAAATAATTCCCAATCTACGCATGTTTGGGCCATTACCGCTGTCGACGAAGACAGTGATTGCATCACCGCTGTCGACGAAGACACTGATTGCATCACTGCAGTACACGGCCGCGGTGAAGGCCTGACTTGCGTCGAAACTTTAAACAAACGTAACTTTGTGCTCGGTTATCCGATCGTAGTGAATTTTTTTTTTATTCCGCATAATTTTTCGAGATCTTGCAAGCCGCAATTTGCCGTAGGTGGTTTGGTCCCGCCTTCGTCTCGAAAATATGTCGTTTGCTACCCCGAACGAGCCTTTTTACAATTTCGTCAAACTTTGAACGACCGTAACTTTGTGCTCCACAATCCGAAAATCATGAATTTTTTTTTATTTCGCATAACTTTTTAAGGACTACAATTTTTATCATAGACATATTTTCGGAATGTACTTGGATTCCTGAAAAGGAAGGTAAAGTTATTCCCAAAACCCCTTATATCCATAAATAATTCATTTTTTGAAAATTCTCTCCTACTAAAAATTGTAGTCCTTAAAAATTTATGCGAAATAAAAAAAAATTCATGATTTTCGGATTGTGGAGCACAAAGTTATGGTCGTTCAAAGTTTGACGAAATCGAAAAAGGCTCGTTCGGGGTAGCAAACGACATATTTTCGAGACGAAGGCGGGACCAAACCGCCTATGGCAATTTTGGCTTGCAAGATCTTGAAAAATTATGCGGAATCAAAAAAAATTCGCTACGATCGGATAACCGAGCACAAAGTTACGTTTGTTTAAAGTTTCGACGCAGGTCAGGCCTTCACCGCGGCCGTGTACTGCAGTGATGCAATCACTGTCTTCGTCGACAGCGGTGATGCAATCACTGTCTTCGACGACAGCGGTGATGGCCCAAACATGCGTAGATTGGGAATTATTTTCATAACGTGTGTATTTTGAGATTTTTTTTTAAAAACATGTGTAACTTGGGATTTTTTCCTAAATTAGAAAAAGAAAGGTATATTCCATCACTCAAGCTTCCTAGCTGCCGGTGTTACATTAGTTGCAGGAAGGTTGTTTGGTGTGTGTCATACGGTATTAACTTCTTCAAGGCTGTTGGTGGTACGACAGCCTAACGGTAAAGTTGCGGCGACAGTGAAGGATTGGGAGTTGCGGATTCCAGGTTCGAATCCAAGCGAGTCCCGTTGGTGTTCCCGGAGGTGCAAGGCTGCTGGAGGCGAAGCCCCGTTGGCGTCAAATTGATTGCATTTTGTCACAAAATGGCACGTGAGGCTGAGGTTCCTGAATATAAAAAAAAAAAAAAAAAAATTGGCCAACAAAAATACTCATAAACAACCAAAATAAAGAGTGTATTAAAATAACATTGGTGGAAATTTTTTTATTTATTAAAATAACATTTGGTTTTATTAATATATATATTAAATTAATTAAGTAATTAATTAATTAACTCATTCTGCCCTTCCAACTGGAATGCAGGAGAAACTGGGAGCACAACTCTCAAACCTGGGGTTCAGATTTTCTATTGACCTGCTTTGTTCGGAATGGGATCAGATGATGACCCCTTATGGGGGTTAGCTTCCATACTAACTAGTTTAATAACCATTAAATTAAAAACTAATTCTAGGGTTAGAATTAGAAAAAGGGATAATTTGGTAGATAATCATCTAACCCTGTTATAAATACATTTTTTTTCTACCAACCCTCTCAAGCAGGCAGCAGCGCACCTCTCTCACTCTCTAAAAAAACATAACCCCATCTTCTCTCTAAAGAAACTCGCATCTCCGGCGATTGCCCCTCCAGTTAGGTTGTGTCTGCGTCTGCGTCGACTTCATCCGTGCCGACCTCGGCCGTAACTGTCTCGCCATCTCCTCCAACCGTGCACCATTAACCGCCTCGCCATTGTTAATAACAGAACAACAACAACAAGAAACAAGGTTACCAAATTTGGAGCTGAGTCGCGGACTAAGTCGCTTTCTTTTCAAACTATTCACATTTCTCAACAGCCATTTGTAGAAAGAGTCGAGCGCGAGACTTTTCCAGCGATTTGCTCTTCTTTCGTTTGACTGTGTTCCTGAAACCCTAATTTCGACTTTGACGAGATCAAGTGAGAAGAATGGGAAGCAAAGGCAGAAATCAATTCTCAATGCTATTGAACGTTTCTTTCTAAGTTTACCTACACGACACCGTCC